AGGAGTTTCCAGACGTGTTTGTCTACGAGTGTCCTCATCATAACAAATGTAAGTATTGAGTGTATGTTTACCTCCTTATTATCTCTAAAGAATGAGTTGTTCAGCCTCTGCTACTTGCCTTTGTTGCTTTGGTCTTGGCTAGCAGGTAGAACAGGGCCGTGCATCAGATTGTGTTCTGGTACCTCTTGTTTTTTCATATCCTTCTACCAAAGCTCAGAAGGTTAGTGCCGACACAAACACACAGTGTCACCTTCTGGTGTAGCGTGGAATTACATCAGTTTCACCACAGTAAATCAAATCTTGCTGTTTTGTTTGAACCTAAATTTGTCTTTTGTTTTGAGTATTTGTGGGACTGCGGTATGAAAACACTCATTTTAGATCAACTCATTGCTTCGTCTGATCGAGATCTAAACCTGTTCAGATGATCAACATGAATCAAATGAACTTGTAAAACTTCAGCACTGGATTATTGGCCCTTCTTCCCCTCACGTCCTGACAGCCCCCACCACAGCTCTGAGGGAGAGGCTTTGTCAGGCGGCTGAGAGGCACAAAGTATGAAGAAAATGACAGTAAGTCTGGATGAATGTACTCTGCATCTCTGAAATATTATTATGCTGAAGGTACGACTCTTTTATGAAATCCTGCACATGGTGCACTTGAACATATAAAAGTGATGATCACCTCTTTCATTGGATTTTGAGTGTTTTACTCAACCTTGTTGCATCATTTATAGGAAGTGATGTAATGAGTTAATGGGGCTGAACAACCCCCTGAAAGACCCACTGAACTGAATTTGGTGATCAAAGTTTGTTATGCTACTAAAACTGGTGAATTCTGATGGGAACACTACAGTGGGATGAGGTTGCCCAGAATCGGACGGTTAAAGAAAGTGTAATGCCAGACATCATAACAGGGTTGGAAACGTGTGTTTTAGTCTCAGGACAATAAGACGTTATAAATCACCTCCATCTTAGCCACGAGCTAAGGTGACAAATGGAACTTCATATTTTATAAATAACCCTGCATCCTCTTGACTTGATGATCAGTGCAGTCCTTTAAGTGATGCCTGTGGAGCATATGTGACCAACAAATGTGACATGACTAACAGAAATATTGGTAACTAGTAAATGGCCTGTATTTGTATAGTGCTTTCCACATGCAGCCATCCACACATTCACACACTGGTGATGGCAGCTACATTGCAGCCACAGCCGCCCTGGGCGCACTGACAGAGGCGAATATTAATAAATTCATATTAATTCCTACTGTCAGTTTACTGTATCAAAGCTTAAGTAAATAAATTAAATTGCAACAAATCATTAAGATATGAAACTCTGTCCTGCTTTGTGACACTTGTTCTGCAGATGTGTTAGCGACAGGCCCAGCACCTGCTGCCCCTCATGGTCTCAGGTGGAGGAGGATCTGTAAGGAAACTTTATTCTGTCGTCTCCAGAGAGTCCTTGTGTTTGTTGTAGA